AATTAATTAGGTGGGTCTGAAAATCGAAGATCACAAATAACTTACGTAGGCTTGCTAATAATGTTTTATTTCCTTCCCGATATTTTACATTCAGGCATTAAATCAAGCCCACATAACATTCCAATAAAGTAGATTTTTTGAGTAATAAGGAAATTCCTAACACATACTCTTAGCTCACTGATCCGCTCGTTCTATAGCTAGATGATTCAGATATACGAAAGGGTTCCAACTAACATTTTACTCACAATTAGCTCAAACACATAAAACACCAGTCGAAGTGTCTCTATTTATCATAACATTTGGCTCAAGTTCCATTTATCCACTTGAAAAGGTTCTACACTCTCTGATAGTCATTCAACATACACAAAACTGCCTACCACATTCTTTGATTCTTCGTTGAGTTCACACTCAATTTCTTCCTTTGATCTTATTTCTCAGGACATGTTCACATAATTCTCATCATATTTGGACATGTTCTTTCCACCTTAGCCAGTCGCCTCAACAACGACTTAACTTCCATTTCATCTTTACTCTCCACTATCTACTTCTAGAGTCATAAGGTGCAGATCGTTGACACATCGAGTATCATTTACTAGCTACACCATAACACATAGTGTCACTTCCTTAATCATGACACATACAAGCATACAAAAAAATATGGGTGGGGCAATTTTTTCATCTCTATTTCTTATACCAAATTGCTCCCTAACTCCCAAGTCTCATACTCATTATTAACCACCACATTTCTCAATTGCCATGCTTCCATACACTTTGTTAATCAACCATAACTTCAGTTTCCCAAAATTCCTCATGGTTCATTTCATATGTAATCCATATAAACTACGTTTAATCTGTATTCACATCACGTTCCACAATCATGCTTACTCTTCTCAATTTTAATGTTCTAAGAACATCGATATTCCACATCTTTCATAACCTTAGCCTCAATATCACACTCCTTACACAAACCCATTCTCATTTATATAACAATTATCAAATCCTCTTTAGTCACAAAACTCAGCCCATGAAACAACATATATGGATCTCTTTTTATTACTCAGTCCGTAAGAATTCTTGTTCTAAATCTCAATACTTAACTTACTGCAGAAGTTCACATACATCTTTCAAAATGCATATCATAACATTTCGTTACTAGATACATGCAACTTAAATGCATTCTAGACACTCTAATGCTCAATGCACATGTGTGTGAGATCATAACTCGTGCTCTGATACCACCTGTCACGACCCAAACCCGCCCCTAAAAGTTTGATCCATGACCGACCTGAACATAGGCCTCAAAACAAATTTCCAAAAATATTTATTCAACTACGGGGCCTTAGTGGAAGCAAATATCAATATAAGATAACATCGATTGAGCTTGTGCATGCATGCTGGCTTAAATAGATTTAAGCATTTAAATGCACTTCTATATTTACATATACAATCACAGAATTATACAAATCTCACACACACACTTATATAAGACTCCAAAAGTTACAAGATTCCCAATAATCAAAATTAAGGCCTCAACACGGAGGCCTACCCCAGGCGGCTTGACAAAGAGGCGGACCTCAATACAATTCTAGTGTTGGTCCCTAAAGGCTCACCTATATGAAAATTTGCATAAAAACAGAGTGAGCAAGGCTCAGTGAATAATAGCAATGTAAGGAGGTTAATTAAACGAGCATAGTCTTAGAGAATATAAATATGCATCCCAAACCATACACAGATCTTAATCATATTCATATTTTAGAATGGCCTCAGGCCCACATGTAATACAGAACGGCTTCGGGCCCACATATGATACGAAACGGCCTTAGGCCCAATATATGTACAAAATGGCCTCAGGCCAACATATTATACAGAGCGGCCTTAGGCCCATATCTCGACTGCTGTCCACACATTGGAGGGTAGGTAGAACATCGACATGTACACTACCTCCCTTGGCCTCTGGCCATGAATCATAATCGATTCGAATCATATCAGGGTCGGTGAGACATCGGCATGCCATCACCTCCTTCAGTCTCAGAGTTGTCCACATTCCGTGGCTTATAACTGAACGACCTCAAGCCCATCACTAGCATAGCAGAACGATCTCCGGTCCTTAAGGATATCATTGCTCAATAACGCACAAAAGTTTTCCAGTTATTCACCATAAGGAAACATAGCTTACTTATGCATAACGAAATGCCACCAATAACTATTAGCAATAAATAAAACAGAACATTACACTACTATTACTCACAGTGAGGGACTTTCGGTAGCCATGGGACGATGTCCTCGTCACGACCTACAACACAATGCACATAGCATAATATGAGAATAAAACCAATCACTTTCTTATTCTTTAATCAATTAGCCATGGTGGTTCTAAATTCATTAGTCTTCAATAGGTCATAATTCATGTCTCAGAAAATAGGAGAAATCGACAGAAAAATGGTTTAGACGAAGAAATGGTATAAAACCAGTACACAGAAAGTGAACAATCGTCACTAAATTGGGCATATCTATTTGTGTACTAACAATTTGGGAGTGAGGCCACCACCATTGGAAAATAAACTTTCGGGACTTGAATTTAGGCTCACAAATTACTTAAAACGGAGTCCAGATGCAAAAGATATGCTTGTTTATAGTTGGCTGAACAGAGTTGTCCCCGCACGTGCGAGAAACAGGGCCGCACGTGCGGGAATTGGGCCGCACGTGCGGGACCACGTGCTTTTTTAGCAGAATCTAGAAATGGATTGCCGCACGTGTGGCTCTTGGTCAGTTTGCTGTCCGAAAATGTTGTTTGCTCTAATTCTTGCTCTTTCCATTTCTAAGCTTGGTTTCCAACTCAAATCACCCAAAAACATGTAAAATTACACCACAATATGATAAATTAACATCAATCAAATGTAATTTCATTTCAAACAAATCAATTTTTGCCTCAATGTTCATGATCAATGCTTTATCTTTCATAAGCTTCAAGGTTCTCAAAACACAACCCACAAATTCACTTGATTCTTGCATGATCTTGTTCTTTGAACAATCTAAAGTTCATTTCATGGTATCCATAAGGTTGAGCTTCAATGATAAACAAAATTATAGAACTCAAATTCTAATTCCTTAAATTTAGCTCAAGCAAATACATACATAAAACCCTAACCCAAATGGGTTCAAATCTTCCAATATCTTTATGATTTCACCAAATTGATGCTTTAAACCTAAGGTTTCAAGATAGATTTTCAAACCTAGTTCAATCTTTGTCCTTCTTCTTAGTTCTCTTCAATTTCCCTCAAGCCTCCATGGTTGATCTCCTTCTTCTCTCCTCAATCTCTTCAAGTTTATCCTCAAGCTTCCCATGGATGGTGAGCCCTCTCTCTCTCACAGAGAAGCTTCCTCTCTTCTTTGGTCTATCTTTCTCTCGGTTCTCTCCCTTAGATATTTTGTTTTGACTCCAAAATGACGAGTTCCTCCACTCATATGGCATATCTAAATATATATATACACACACACATAAGCTTATCACAATAGGGAGAGCCAAACGCGCCCTTACGAATCGTACGAAATCAAATTTCAATTAAACTTTCTAGATGACTCTAAAAATTATGCTGATCATAAAAATAACCCCTGTTCTGGTTTCTGAAGCCTCCAAGGCCCTCAATTTGCAGTACAAAGTTAACCACCCAAACATGCATTAACGAATCAGACGAATTAAATTTCCAATTAATTTTTCCAAGTAGCTCTAAAAATTCCCATTAACATATGCAAGTACTCAATTTTGATTTCTGAACCCATAAAGGTCGCCAATTCCAGTTTTAAAGTCGTAACTCAACAAT